TAATGATATCGAGACCGATCAACATCAAAAGCGGGATCTTCCAAGGCAATTAATTGTCGCCATTACTCTTCTGCCTTACATTAGCGCTACTCAGCTGCCGAGTGAACAACAGTAACTACGAATACAAGTCAGAGAATGGCAAACTGAATCATCTATTCTATATAGATGATCTTGAAGCGTTTGTCAAGAACAACCAACAAAAATGCTATTCATCATTGTCAAAACCTTCAGCGAATACGTTAGGATGGAGTTCGGAAACGACAAATGTGCCAAAGCCATCTTCTACGGTAGTAAACTAAGAAAACTATAAATTTAGACAGTGTTATCAACAACAGGATTAAAGAACAAGACCAAGATGTTACATAGAAATACTTATAAATTAATGAAAGTGACGGAATTAAACATTCAATTATGAAGAAAAAGACCCGAAAAGAATATTATGGAAAGACTGTGTAATGGGGCCGATAAGATGACGGTTATCAACAACTTAGCTATAGATACAACTTCAGCATGAAAAGGCAGTTGAAGGATATTAAAAGATAGGATACCAAGAGCAAAAAATCCTTGCATAAATGAGAATGCACGACACGAAATCAGACGTTGATAAGATGTAAGTAACAAGAGCCGCAGTAGGTAGAGGAATAATCCAACATGAACTGTCAAAATTACCACAATCGAATTGGAAACATACCTAAGAAAAACCAATGACTCTCTCTTACAAATAGTAAAACACGAAATCCACTCCATCAACAAAGAAGCTGCACTCTTCAAGACTCAGCTTAATACACCTAATTTTTGTCAACAAAAAACGAAGCGAATACCATCTACGCGAAACGAGTAAAATAGAAAGCAAAACAACTTGGCCAAATAAAATTACAAAAGAAAAATGGGAGGACAAGGCGTTGCAAGACAAATACTTCAAAAGAACGAAAGAGGCAGATGTGGGCCAACAGAAAACACATCAGCAGCACCTGGTAAAAATCGGAGACAGAAGGCCTAATTATTGCAGCTCAGAAACAAAGTCTCCCAGCAAGTTCCTATCACTGTGTCGTTGCGCCAAACGTAACGTCCGCCTGTCTGCGTCAGTCGTGCTATCCTGTCTTGTGACGACCAATTGGCTTGGTATTGGTGGCGGCTCCAAATGTGACGTTCTAACCTTTTGGTGATTCGGATGGGAATCTGGTTAGATTCGGTATCAGCCTCGTCGTTTCCAGCTCGCTTCCAACGTCTGGTTACCGAATTAGGTGCTTTGATTTCTAGTCTAACCTACCCACGTTGTGAATTAATCTATGCTGACGAAATCAATCAGTCGCCGGGGCCGTAATGCAAGCTGAGTTCGAATAAGGGTGATATCGAGCAAGTATGTGTAAAAGAAAAGAAAATAATGACTCGAAAAGTTCAAGTGTGTTAAAAAAAAGGATAACAATACTTTACATCTCGTTGCTGAGTACAGGACTGAGTCTTCTTCCCAAAGCCGCTATATGGATTCGTGACACTTTGTGTTTGTTAGGCGAGACTTAACATCTTAAGTTGTTTGTTCTTTTAAGAAACTGGTTCTTGGTGTGTCTTCAGGCGAAATTCGTAAAACTTGTTTTGGTGGTTTGAGTCTAAGTCGTTCTTCAAAAATAAATTGTTCTTGGTTAGAAGATGAGTTCGGATTTTGCGTGAATCTTAGTCAGCTCTGCGAGGCGGGTCTTCAGAGCTCTCAGCTCACTGCAACAAACTGGAAATTAACTGGGCTGAACTGAACTGAAAACTGATTTTCGCTCGCTGCGACTTTGCTTATATGGACGCCGACCAAAACCGGGGTGGGCTTGTCGGGGTTTGAGGTTCCCTGATAATTCCAAACTCACAATCCACTTCTTTGTTTTCGGTCAGGAAAATTTTATTAATTTCCATTTTTGGAAGTCTCTTCGTCCTCCCACCTTCTTCTGTTCTCATATTGTTATCTCACCATGCCCTCAGAGGGTGTCAACGGGTTTCCCCTCTCTCTCACAGTGGCATCTCACACCTATCCCCTCAATGGGTGCCATCAGGCCTCACCTTCTGCCTCACATGATCACCTCCGCCTGGCTCTCGTTATCATTCACCCAATGGGCGCTCAGCAGCGTCGGTGTGGCTAGACTAGCCTTGTTTTTTTAAAAAAAATTTGCTCAAAGAAAAAAATTATCTTTTCTTTTCCTTTTTCCTTCTTTCTTTCTCTTTTCTTTCGTAGTGTGGTCCCTTAATCGCAGCTTTTATCCTCAATGTCACCTGGTATCAATCACCGGGGACTTCGCCAAACAAGTGGGTGGTCAATTAGACGTATTTTGCATTCCTGGTGCCAATTTCTGATCCGATAAAATAGTTTCGCTGTCATAGCCGAATTTCAACACAAAACAGATGCCTTGTTCAAATGATATTTTCCCATCGACAAATGCTTAACCTATGGTTTGTTCTTTTGTTTTTATCAACTCTTGTCTGGTCAACGGACATTAAGAAAATGAAGATTTAATTAATTCTTTATTTCATTTTTCCAGCATCCTTACGTTGTTTCGTTTTGTAGGAGTGATATACAGAAATTTTCCATGATTTTCATTGACCCAAGGACTTTCGGCAAATTCTTTAGCCATTTTCAGGGGGATGTTGTTTTTTGTGTTGTTAGTTTTTCCTCGAGGTTTTACTGTTTAGGTTTGATTTTATTTTTGTGTAGTTTTGAAAACGAGCGTTCATACTGAGGCTTCGCATGTTGAGCGCTGCTGGAAATCGCTTGACCATATTTCTATTGTTTAAATACTTGTAACACTCCATTTCCATTGTTAAATAAGGTTAGATTGATAATAGGAGAGAGTTGTTCGACATACAGAGCCTCTCTAATAAATACTATATATATATATATATATATATATATATATATATATATATAATTATTTTCGGTTGAGCTCTCGGGTGGAGGGGTAGGTGAGTTTCCAAAACAACGCTTGATGATTAAACTACCACCCAGTGGTTAAAGTTTAGTATTCGAATTAAACTTAAATACTGCTGACCAGTTTCGAAACAGAAATTTCTGTGCCGTGATGGAATCATATTTATTTTAAAAAATTATAATCTAGGCTCTACTTATCTATCGAGCACTGTTTTTTTTTTAATAAAAACAAAAATACTAAAGAACTTCCGATCATCAATCTAACAATTTTTGTTATTATATCAACACACACACACACACACACACACACACACACACACACACACACACACACATATATATGTGTGTGTGTGTGTGCCCGTGTGCGCGCGTGTGTGTATATTATTTCTTATGTTATGAGTATGAGCATTTTTTTTCATTTACAAGGTGTCACTTCATTATAAAACCTTTCATATGGCAGACATGTTGGCGGCAGGAGACTATAGAATGAAGCTGAAGACGACTGTAGTATTGGAAAAATGCCAGAATCCTTTTCAGTAATCGAAGGCTGATAATATGGAATATAGATTATCATTTGTGACGATAATCTTAGGCCCATTTGGAACTGCACAGAAAAAAATATGGAATTGACACTGCTTTAATTGGAAATCATACGTAGGTTTGTTACTACTGAGACCTTGACGCCGCGGAAGTCTCTGGGAAAACCGTGCAGGCTTCGGGCATACTTCAGAGATGATGGAATCACATCTCATTTGAACCTGCAAAGATGTGAGTGCGGAAATATCATTCTATCTATCCTTCCCTTATCACGACCGTTACACCGTGCCACTACGCGTAGAAAGATGGGAAATACATATCAGACGCTAATTCAATGACAAATTGAAAGACAGAAAGAAAAAATAAAATAAGTAAATAAACAAATAAATGAATAAATAAGGAAGGAAAGAAAGAAAGAAAGTAAGAAAGAAAGAAGACTGAGGCATTTAACAACACACGCCAATTCTTAATAAATAATGAACTATTAAGATTTGATGGACTGGAAAGAAGAAAAGGACATATCAGAGACGGGACTTGATTTCAGTGAGGAAAAAAGAAAGAAAGAAAGAAAGAAAAAAACAAAAAAAAGAAAGAGTGAAAAATAGGAGTGTTTACTATTTCTCGCCAATATTTCATAAATAATGAAAGAAGGAAAAGCCATATGAAAGAAAGCTACTTATTTACAATGACAAAAGAAAGAAAGAAAGAAAGATAGATAGATAGATAGATAAGGATAGAGAGATAGAATTACTTAACGTCTGTTTAGATAGATAGATAGATAGATAGATATTAACAGGCTGAGATAGATAGAGATGGATAGACAGAAGTACTTATGGTCTCTTTGGATAGATAGATAGATAGATAGATAGATGTATTTAACGTCACTTTAGATAGATAGATGTATTTAACGTCTCTTTAGATAGATAGATAGATAGATAGATAGATAGATAGATAAATGTATTTAACATCTCTATAGATAGATAGATAGATAAATGTATTTAACATCTCTATAGATAGATAGATAGATAGATGTATTTAAGGTCTCTTTAGATAGATAGATAGATAGATAGATAGTTGTATTTAAGGTCTCTTTACATAGATAGATAGATAGATAGATAGATGTATTTAAGGTCTCTTTACATAAATAGATAGATAGATAGATGTATTTAACGTCTCTTTACATAGATAGATGTATTTAACGTCTCTTTAAATAGATAGATAGATAGACAGACAGATGTATTTAACTTCTCTTTAGATAAATAGATAGATGTATTTAACGTCTCTTTACATAGATAGATAGATAGATAGATAGATAGATAGACAGATATGTATTTAACGTCTCTTTCGATAGATATATAGACATATATATAAATAGAGAGATAGATAGATAAATGTATTTAACGTCTCTTTAGATAGATAGATTGATATATTTATTTAACGTCTCTTTAGAAAGATAGATAGATAGATAGATGTATTTAACATCTCTTTAGATAGATAGATAAATGTATTTAACACCTATAGATAGATAGATAGATAGATAGATGTATTTAACGTCTCTTTAGATAGATAGATAGATAGATAGATAGATAGATGTATTTAAGGTCTCTTTACATAGATAGATAGATAGATAGATAGATGTATTTAACGTCCCTTTACATAGATAGATAGATAGATAGATAGATGTATTTAACGTCTCTTTAAATAGATAGATAGATAGACAGACAGATGTATTTAACTTCTCTTTAGATAGATAGATAGATGGATAGTTAGATAGATAGATGTATTTAACGTCTCTTTAGATAGATAGATAGATAGATAGATAGACAGAGATGTATTTAACGTCTCTTTCGATAGATATATAGACATATATATAAATAGAGAGATAGATAGATAAATGTATTTAACGTCTCTTTAGATAGATAGATTGATATATTTATTTAACGTCTCTTTAGAAAGATAGATAGATAGATAGATGTATTTAACGTCTCTTTAGATAGATAGATAAATATATTTAACATCTCTATAGATAGATAGATGTATTTAACGTCTCTTTAGATAGATAGATAGATATATAGATAGATAGATGTATTTAAGGTCTCTTTACATAGATAGATAGATAGATAGATAGATAGATAGATAGATAGATAGATAGATAGATGTATTTAACGTCTCTTTACATAGATAGATAGATAAACCGACAGATGTATTTAACGTCTCTTTAGATAATAGATAGATGGATAAATAGATAGATGTATTTAACGTCTCTTTAGATAGATAGATAGATAGATAGATAGATAGATAGATAGATGTATTTAACGTCTCTTTAGATAGATAGACATATATATAAATATAGATAGATAGATAAATGTATTTAACGTCTCTTTCGATAGATATATAGATATATATATAAATAACGATAAATGTATTTAACGTCTCTTTCGATAGATATATAGACATATATATAAATAGAGAGATAGATAGATAAATGTATTTAACGTCTCTTTAGATAGATAGATTGATATATTTATTTAACGTCTCTTTAGATAGATAGATAGATAGATATATGTATTTAACGTCTCTTTAGATAGATATATTGATGTATTTAACATCTATTTAGATAGATAGATTTTTTTAACGTCTATTTAGATAGAGAGATAGATTTATTTAACGTCTATTTAGATGGATAGATAGAAGTATTTAACGTCACTTTCAGTGAAATAGAAAAACTTGTAAATTTTAAATCTTTTACTCTCTTACATCTCAAAATAACGACTAGTATTCATATTTATGTTTGTTATTACAATATTCTGTTAAATTTATTAACTTCAAATATTAAAACATGCGATAGGACTAGGTATTTCTACGGATATTTTATTGTTCGTGGAACTCGCTATGAGCTAATTCAATCATTATCTTCATTAGAAAATTGAAATAGGAAAACTATGAAATCCTCACAGCCATTTCTAGTTGATAATACAACGTGATAATAATTTCCCTTGAAAGTAAATAAATTTAAATGATGTGCATCTTTGTGATTCCCTCGGCAACGTCAGCTATGCCTCCGGTTAAATAAAACTATAAACGATGTGACGTTATATACCAAAAATAAGAGGGAAATAAAGTTATTTATCGAGGTAATCATTAAATGTATTATTTTTTTCAACCTTGAACAACAGCTACAGTAATTATGCAGTAAGGACTTCATTCCCATAATTTATGGGCTAGCTTAGTTGATTTTGATTGATCGATTCGCTTTCTACGGCTTATCAAGTTTTTCATGGATATTTAAAGCCGTATTATAATTTTATATTGTATGATATTTGGAGGTAAAAGTCTTAGCAATTAACCCAAGGCTGTGAAGAAAATAGGTGGACTCATACTTTTCCCATTTAGAAGTAAGTAGATATAACGAACCCAATGGGAATTGGAATTTTGCTCGGTAATTAACAATTCCGTATCAATATACTTTGCACCACCTGCACATTTAAGATTTTACTCTCTAGGTATTATTCAGGTGGAACGTTGCTTAACTTCTGTAACAGTACAGAAACAGGTGTTTCATAGTGATGTATGTTGACCATGTTTGCCGTAGTCTCTGAACATGGAATCCGGTGAAGTCCGTAATCTCTTCAATATCAGAGGTTGGCAGTGTATTTTATATTTTAAAATTATATCACTACATGTAAGGCAGTGAAGCAACAAAGACGTAAGTGTTTCTGAGTGTGACAAAAATAAGAAAAACGATTTAAAGAGCATTAACAATATAAGAGTAATCAAGACAAGATTAGATAACGTTGACATGACATGACATTTAAACTTTGGAAGATCAATGTTAGCTGAGAATCGTAGAGCCGGGAGAATTCCACAATGGAGAACTTCGCATAAAGAAACTGTTAGCAGAGAAATTACGATGGCATCTAGCCAATTCAACTGTAAATTGATTAGATCTGTTTCAGCAAATCTACCATTGCGCTTAAATTCATAATGTTTCGGTTCCTTCGAGAAAAATGAATTCCAACTATTAGCATGGAAATATTTACGGAAAAGGCAGAGGAAGAACTACGTTACGCTGTGAAAAGGACTTAAGTCGAGACATCAGCCCAGGACCAATAACATAGCAGTTTCTTCGCTGGATTTTATCAAGAATCTCTAAATATGCAACGGAAAAATCGGGCCATATGTGACAGAAATATTGAAAGCATGAACGAATGAAAGACTTATAAAAGAAAAAACGACACAGTGAATGAACTCCCTGAGAAGCAAACCTAGCAATGGATTCATTATAATCTTTCAACTTCATGTCAGTTGGGAATGTATCCCCAAGAAGGCACAACGTGTTATTTACCCGGATTTTAGTATAAACTATGCTAGTGGAAGGCAAGAAGGGGTCCTCTTGTCGTTAATAGAGAGAAGTTTGATTTTCGGTGCGTAAAATTAACAAGCCATTCGTTGCTCCAGTTAGCAACAGACTGTAGGTAATATCTTAGATGTGTTGCCAATTTGAGCTTGTCAAACTGATCAGACTTATTATCGAGAGAGCAGTAAATGCTTGTATTATCTGTTTATATATCAAGTTCAAACTGATGACATAAGGAAGGTCATTGATGAAAACTAAGAAAAGAGTTGGTGTAAAGGTCGGGCCGTGGAGGACACATGCAATATTACAAAGACATGTAGAAGCGTTAATGTTCAGGAAAACACCTACATCTTCAAATAATGAGAAAAAATATGTTCCGAAATGGCAAAGGCTTTCAGCTTGTGTAGAAAACTAGTATGCCAAACACTCAAGCATTTTTGAGATGCACAAAGCAATAGATCGAGCCTTATAACTCTTATGTAAAAACTTGAAATAAACTTTCAGTAGTAACTGTTAGTACATCAAATATTGGCCTAACAAAGCGAAGGCCATACTGCTTGTCTGAAAGAAGACTGTGTGAAGTGAAATATTTAACCAATTCAGATTTGATTACGGTTAGAAAACTTAAAACTTTGTTCTGATTTTCATAAATATTGTCACTTATATTTGAACTTATAAGCATTAAACTTGGTTCTGAATTTGAGAAAAATTGTAGTTTTTAATTGAATTTATTATCATTTACTTGGATCTCTATGTGAGAAATAACATCGTTTTTAATTGAGTTTATAAGCATTTATACTTCTGGATTTGAGAAATATTGTCGTTCATATTTGAATTTATAAGCATTTACTAGGTTACGGATTTGAGAAATATTGTGGTTTTAAATTTGAATTCCTAAGCATTTACTAGTTTCTGGATTTAAGGAATATTGTCGTTTCTATTTGAATATATAAGCATTTACCAGATGGATTTCGGAAATATTGTCGTTTTATTTGGATTTATAAGCATTTACTTGCTTCATGATTTGAGAGATATTGTCGTTCTTATTGAAATATATAATCATTTACTTGCTTCTAGATTTGAGAAATATTGTCGTTCTTATTTGAATTTATAAGCATTTACTTGCTTCTGGATTTGAGAAATATTGTTGTTTTTATTTGAATTTATAAGCATTTACTTACTTCTGGATATAAGAAATATTGTCGTTTTTATTTGAATTTATATGCATTTACTAGCTTCTGGATTTGATATTGTCGTTCTTATTTAAATTTATATGCATTTACTTGCTTGTGGTTTTGGGTGATATCGTCTTTCTTATTTAAATTTATATGCATTTACAGGATTCTGGATTAGGAGATGTCGTTCATATTGAAATTTATAAGCATTTACTTGCTTCTCGATTTGAGAAATATTGTTGTTTTTATTTGAATTTATAAGCATTTACTTACTTCTGGATATAAGAAATATTGTCGTTTTTATTTGAATTTATATGCATTTACTAGCTTCTGGATTTGATATTGTCGTTCTTATTTAAATTTATATGCATTTACTTGCTTGTGGTTTTGGGTGATATCGTCTTTCTTATTTGAATTTATATGCATTTACTTGCTTCTGGTTTTGGCTGATATCGTCTTTCTTATTTGAATTTATATGCATTTACTTGCTTGTGGTTTTGGGTGATATCGTCTTTCTTATTTAAATTTATATGCATTTACAGGATTCTGGATTAGGAGATGTTGTCGTTCATATTGAAATTTATAAGCATTTACTTGCTTCTCGATTTGAGAAATATTGTTGTTTTTATTTGAATTTATGAGCATTTACTAGTTTTTGGATTTGGGAAATATTGTATTTCTTATGTTAATTTATAAGCATTTACATTGTTCTGCATTTTAAAAGTTTTGTTGTTTATATTTAAATTGATCAGAATTTATTTGTTTTTGCTTTTGGGAAATATTTTCTTTTTATTTGTAGTCATAAGCATTTAGCCGGTTCGCTGTTAGAGAATTATAAGCAATATTTATTTCTATTTCCTATAAGTATTTACTTTACTGGAGATTAGACATTCTTGTTTATATTTGCATTTATAAACATTTTCTTTCACATTGTTTAAATTTGTATTTATAAGCATTTACTTGGATGATTATTGAAATATTGAAAGTTTACGTTTGAGTCTATAAGCCTTTACTTGCTAGTTTTCCCTCACGAGAGTTTGCTTCGAAAGTGGATGTAATTGCATCTTCTGAAGTCCCCAGACTGGGTAGCATAATCAATGACACGCTGGTGTGCTCATTAAATAATGAGAAATATAACCACGGCATATTTGAAATTGCCTTGAAATTGGTGCAGATTATGTAGAGACCTTCATTGAAGTGCTAAAAATAAATCAATTCTGATAATGGAGTGTTATAATAAACGGGCCTGGCAGTATGATGAAATTCAAATATTCAAGCGTTTATATAAATAATAATAACGAATAGGAGGATTGGTAAAAAATTACAGTTGTTTTGTAATTACAAGAGATTTATTAGTAAACCAAGCAGATAGGACTCACTGTTCAAAACCTACATCTCATATTTGAGCGAGTGCATACATGCTCTCCTCGAAGAAGCTTATTGAGGAATTTTCCTAACCAAATCCCTGTTGATATTCTCCAGCCCTCATCACAGGAGAAAAAAATTGATTCATTTCTGACTAACTCCTTCATTTTTGGTGAAATCTATATACTGAAATTCCAGAATATTCTCCTACCATAAACATACTTCGATTTCTGGGAAAATGTATTTCGCTAACATTAGAGTACGCAAGAGACAGACTTGAAGCGAAAGTTCTAAGTGACTGATTTTCGCAGAGTTTCAAATAATTGTTGTTCTTTCAATTTTAATAGCAGAATCATCCTTTTCCCAAATAAGGCCAGCAGCTGGACTGCCACTGGTGGACCTGTCACTAAAGTCATTTTCTCTTTTTACTCTAGAAATGTCGTTTACTTCCGAGCTACGTCTTCTTGCTGGGACTCTATCAAATATCCCCCAACATACTGTAAAATATTTCAGCACTTTCGTCTGACTTCCATGGACAGATAGTTGGACTTACAGCTAGGAAAAGTAAAAGATGTAAATTTCCAATTTTTTTTCCCTGTTCCTCGCGACATCGTGTCGATTATAGAGGAAACAAACTGAAATAAAAGGTACGACAGACTTATCTTCCACATATACTTCCCGGAAATAATGCTAAGATTTTAAATGAAGACGC